TCATGATTCCACTTGATTCCGCTTTAAAATAAAGCTACTGAAAGGACAAAAGTAAAAAGGTAAAGTAACCCACTTGAGTGGGTTTTAAACAAAAAAAAAGTAACCCACTTGATTTTGCTTTAATAAATAAAGAAATTGAAAGGGTAAAAGTGAAAATAGTCGACAACCAAAAGCATCCAACGTTTTTGTCAAGCAAAAGTCTGGGTGGAATTTTCCATCCTCATGATGTAGAAACAAAACAGCTGATTGGAAATCTATATTTTTTTCACAAAAATATTATATTTAAAAAAATCAATTGCAAAAATCATATTTTCGGTATATTTGTAAAAATACTTAGAGGTATCAATTTGTAAATATATCACTAATTATTGATTTTTAAAATCTAAATCTTAAAATTATCAACTTTAAAAAATGTTTTGATCCTTAAAACTTTTAAAATTAAACCTAATTCAATATAATTAACTCAGACAAAATGATATAAGAAAAAAATAATTTTGCAAAAGTAACATTTCTACAAATTTTTTTTAAACAACTCATTATTTATATCTTTGCGCTAGCAAAAAGGCAAAGGTCACAAATTCATGCAAGGAAGCAACAACGCGAGATCACATCGAGTTCCCCCGAACTCATAAGGAGCTAACCATGCCCCTTAAAAACTAAGAWMTCCTAAGGCMTAAAACTCATCRTTACAAGCRAAGTYGATCTAAACTCGATCACACAAAAACACAGACTTGAGCACCAAGTCCAACTTTGTTACAATACGCATCGGCCGAACAACATTAACAACATCGCAACAGAGAGCAGCTCTCAAGCTGAAATTCACATCCCGCGATCACACATGCCAAYGACGGATCTGACTCTAAAATGTCGCTTAGTTCAAACACTTTGACACAAAGAGAACCTTGCTCAGAGACGAGCTGAATTGAGACAAGTACGCAAAAGATTTAGCTATACGAGTATATGAGAAAAGTAGCCAAGAGTGAATTGAGCCAAAGTCATGGTGTCTGCGCCACTTCGGCCCATCTCAGAAAAGATCAAACCAAACTGAACAAGTCAGCCGAGCTGAT